GCTGGTTCAATGGCGATCTTGATAAGGTACAGGGTGTGTTTTGTTGTGGTTGGGGATGTTGTTGTAAATTTTCATTTTTTGTGAGGATTCATTTTTCTTGTCTTTGCTGTCTGATTTATGTAGTTTACCTCACATAGAGTGAATTTATATGTTTTATTTTTAAGTGTGTCAGTTTGGAAAGGCTTATTTTTTTTATTAGATCGTGCTGCCTTAGTTTGACGCAGATCACAATGTATAGTTTAAGGAAGGTTATTTGTCCAGTGATTGTTGCATGTAAAGATATGATGATTTGATTTGTTATTTCAAGGATGATATTTTTTGCTTTATGTGATTTTTTTATTAGAATTTTTGGCCTGTATTGCAGATTAGTGTGACTCATCTATCTGTGTCCCTCTTTCCCCCTCATTTTTTTCCCATTCCCTTCTCTCTTCTCACCTGTTCCTCTCGCTTCCCTAGGCAATGGCATATGAAGGCTGGAGTGACCTCTGGTTCACAGTACAGTTCATCATGTCGTGTATCATGGGATTCATCCTGATGTACTCGGTGATGCTGTGCACGCAGTACAACTCTGCACTGACCACCACCATCATCGGGTGCCTCAAGAACATCTTTGTTACGTACTTAGGGATGATTATCGGTGGCGACTATGTGTTCTCCATCTACAACTTCGCGGGGCTCAATATCAGGTATAGATGGGTTTTTCTTCTTGTAGATTTTTAACGGTCATTGATTAAACTTATGTGTTTTTCAATGGTCTCCTTCTTTTCTTGTGTTGTTTCTAATCTTTTTTCTTTATTAATTTGTGTGTATTAACTTTTTTTTCAGGTTTAATTTGCATGTTTTTTTATGTGTATTTAGATAGTTTTGAGTTCTTTTTAACACTTTTATTGATATCTTAAAAGTTGTTTACTTCTAGGCTTGATTTAGGATATCTCGGATAGTAGGTATCATATGTTTTCTTTGTTTACCCTTTTCCTTTTCCTTTCGTTTCTAGGTTTTCAAATTGATCTTGCATTACGTTATTGATCACTTGTTGTACTTTTAAAAGAATTTTGTTTTTATTTATTTATTATCAGATAGTTTAACTATACCATTTTGACTGAAGTGTCTCATGTGATGGCATAAAGGTAGTTGCTGTGGAAATGTATCAAAGAAAGGAAGAGATGAATGTCTAATGAATATTTCTCTGCAAGAGAGGAATATAAGCATCTTTTTAGTCTCAAGAATAGAATGTGTTAATCTATTACGATACTGTTTTTGTGTTCCCCCTTATATGTATATGTATGTATATATGTGTATATATGTGGTTTTATATTGTTTCCACCAAAAATTAGGCGTTAGTATATCAGTGTGGATATATCATATAAAATATGTTTATGTATTACTGGAAGACATCAACAATATGCAACTTAAAGCAGTGGTATTGATGTCCTAGTACAAAGCTATGACCTTCAAAATCTCATATGGACCTGGCTACAGATATAAGACTAGAAGCACTCAGAGAGCACATACCTCTGCCAAGGCAACAGGGTTACTGATGCAATGAAAATATTCACACTTGAAGAAGTAAATTAACTAGTGATGTCCATGTTTCCCTAAGTTAGGCTGAGACACACCTCTGGGAAAAATTTCATTAAAATCTGTTCAAAACTTTTTGACTTATCCTGCTAATCAACACTGGAGCTGGATCACCACCAAAAGTTATTCTGCTATCCAACTAACCAACACTACCAAAAACATAACCTCCTTGATGGAGGTAATTATTATATATTTCGCTTAGATGATTATGAAAGGTTACATTCCTTGAAAAGCCAGTAAAATAGGTACACTTGTGATTGAGTCCTTTAACTCACTCAGGATGGCTGAGATATAATCATGCCATATGTGATCCAGTCTACTGCAAGTTATGGATGCTAAACATTTTGTTCACTTTTTTTACCCTGACTGCAGTCATTGAGGAGGAATAGCCCCTCAAAAGTAGGCATAAAGCCATTTTTTCACCTTATTGCCAAAACAGGCATTTATGCTATAGCCAAGAGTGTAAAGAGAGTGGTGAATTCATTATCAGCGCATCTAATATTTCCCTAGAACAGCCGACTCCAGGTGCAGCCTAACAAGTTGTTCTGAATGGCACCAACAATTCTTTTTGTGAGTGGGTTAAGATGCAGTTTGATGAAGGAACATCAATACTGTTGCCTGGCTTAATTCTCATTATGAACTGAGCGTGATATTATGAGAAAAATATTTTCTTTGACTATTGTTGTCTGCAGTTGTACTCTTGAATTAGGTGTGAATGAGTACACTGAGTGAAATATTTGAAATGTTTCTTTTGTTTTTAAGGTCATGTTATAACTAGACCAATGATAAAGCCAGGCACAGTTTAAAGATTAAATCAAACAATAAATTGAATCACTCTAGAGTACTGATAGAGAGGAGTGTCCATGAGCAAAAACTTCTGTTAAAAGACAGTGTAGTCAGGTGTAGTGCTTATTGAATGTCA